GAGAGCTCATTCTGTGGATACTTACGAGACCAGAATTTTCTACTGAATATATCAAGTCCGTCGATAATAAGTTTTGTAAGCATTTATAATATTTAACCTATTTGCTCAAAAGTCGGTATGATAATTTACTTAATCTCTTCTGTCATAATTGTCATATTAATAATTATTTCCACGAGTACGTCTCACTTTTGCTAGTCCTCTATATTCTTTTTAATAGCTTAAAGTTTTTTTTTCACAGTTTCTATGAAGTACTTACGCGTCTCTCTCTCTCTTTCTCTCTATCCGACTCTTTATATCGACGTTGCGAAGATCCTAATTATATGAATAAATGCAAAGATAAGCACCGAATGCCTGGAAAAGAAGGTCGGATATTATAATATCTTGATGATGGCATCTGCAATTGTGAATATCATTACAAAATCAGGAGGCGAAAAGGCGGAAAAAAAAATGAAACGAGAGAGATGCGAACGTGAAAGTCTACCGTTGAAATTCTAGTCGCCTAGAAGCAGACAATGGGAGAGAGACAGTGAAAGACAGAGTGAGTGAGAGACAGACTGAGAGAGAGAGAGAGAGTGATGAAGCGTCCCTCGATGACAAACTAGCGTACAATATAGCGATACAGCCAATTGTCGGACAATCAAGAAACCGGAGAGGAGCAGCGACGGCCGCTTCACACACTTCGCCACCTTTCCTCAATTTCTCCACATCGATGTATAATAAGCACGCGCCTCGCCATATTAGAACACCTGTTCATATTAATTCGAGCCGAGGCAAGGTATCGCATCCGCTTGCCTTTGCGCGTCTTTACAAAGTAACGCCCATATTTATTCATAAGTATAAATTTCATCGACTCCGCACGTCATAGTAATCCAAGACGAGCCGTTGAATGTCTGAAAAGGAAAGTAAACTTGTTGAAAGCTCCTTCTTCTTCTTCTTCTTCTTCTTCTTCTTCTTCTCTTCGTTCTCAAGATTCGTACATCGGATAATGCGCCTTTAACATCGTCTTTATATTTTTTAATCTTACTTTGGGAATTTTTTCGGCTCTTGCGAATTAACTGGACGATTGTCTTTTATGATATGTGCCTTTACGACAACACGAACTTCCAATTATTGCAAAATTTTTAATTAGTACACTTAAAATATCAATGTCGGAGCGTCTTATCGTCCCATGTGTGCGTACGTGCAATTACGTATGTTCTTCTTTAATTTTGTATTTTAGTTTTAATTTCCTGACAACAAACTGACAATAATAATAATAATAATTTCCACTTAAACAAAAAATTAAAAAAACAAATTGTTAAAATAAATTTAATCAAATTTCTAGCCACATAATATTTTCATGTGAATAAGTTGAGATGTTGGATAATTTAATTATTACAATATAAATGATGAAATAATTAAAATTGCCTTATTAATATAAATTTCATTTTAATGTGTAATTTATGTACTGTAATAGGTTTAAAATTTTCAAAATGATTAATGACTAATAATTAAAAATAACTAAGCTAATTATTAAGCAAATAAATGTGGATTACTTTTTTGAAAACTTGTATGCTCTTTTCAAAGGTGCAATTAATGTAATGAAAATTAAAAATAAATAAACAATTACAAAAGTATAACTTATTCTATGATATTCCAGTCTAGCGATAATAATTCAATATATTTAGAAAAAATACCAATAAACTTTTATAAACTTTTATATTTATAATAAACGTATTTAGATCAATTTTATCGGTAAATTCAAGATGTACTGACTAATGTGGCTAGTCAAAGAAAACTGTATAACAACTAGGAAATAATAGTGACTTTTTTCCCTACTTCTTACCTCGATATTACCCACTGAAAATATATTTTCTCAATTAATTAATTACATATTATAGATAACTATAAATGGTGATTATCTAATTTTCCGATAAACTAATCTTAAAAAAATTACAATTAAAATAAGAGATTAGGTGTGTAATAATAATGTGATGAAGTCTTTGTTTTTTAAATTTAAACATAATATAAATAGAATTCTCAGACCTGAAAATAGATATGAAGCAACAATTTTCTTTTATTACTCTTTATTATTCAAATAATATTTGCATGCTGAATAAGACCTATAATATTAACATCAATACTGAACAATTCATTTAAAATCTTTTCTTTTTAATACAGAATTATGCATTAACGCATATATAATAAATAAAAAATTTCAATTTTAATGCATTCTTTAATATTAAAAGTGAAAATGTATATATATATATATATATATATATATATCTTTAATTGAATGGAAGTAAGTGAAAATAACAAAATGTACGTAGGGATGTTAGGTAAAATAAAATTAAAAAAAAAATGTCAAAATTAAATCATTAAGACAAGCATCTTCATCGAATTCCAAGTTCAAATTATGCTCATTGATGTAACCTGAAAATAATTTATCATAATATAAATAATGTGGAAGTAATACTTACATATTATATAAATTACACGAAATACTTCTATTTCTAAAATTTATGTTAAATTAATGACAAAATTGGGTATTGCTTGTTGCGAAAGGATCTTTGACTCTTCGTGGGAAAATGAGGATACCCATGGGCAAAAATATCGTTTTTTACTATTAAACTGCAGCCTTCCTTATTCACATAATTAGGTAGAAAACAAAAAGTATAAATTTTAAATAATTGACCACTTTATCCGCATGCGAAAGTTAAGAAAAATTAATATTAAATGAATGATGTAAAGTGTAATAGGTATTGTAATTGTCATATTTATAAAAGATTTACTTACTTGTGGGCAAGAAATATTTTAAATTTCATTAACTGTGCTCCATCAAATTATTCAACGTCATACTTGAAATATCTCACGATATCGGATTTGACACTCTACTCCATCATTCCTAGATACATGACAATTTATACGAAGAAAGTTTGTCATTTATAGATAAATTCCATTGTTTAGCGTGCAAAAATGTCTTTGAGTAGCAAGAAAAATATATTTAAATTGTCGATCACTGGTTAAGAACAAAAAAAAAAAAAAAAAAAAAATCAACAATAAGTAATTAGGAAAAGTAAATGAAGGAGAGCTAAAAATTCAAAACATATTACTCTTTAGTGTACGGATGTATTGTTTATGTTTTATAAATAATAATGCCTTCTATACGTTAACGCGCCTAAGGAGCAAATAAAAAATATTAAATTTACGAAAATGTGACAGGCTCGAAGCACTTAATAGAATCAAAATTTTGTTTTAAGTACAGTACATACTGTCGTGAGATCAATGATTCTCGTCAGTAAAATAAAGCTAAATGAATCCGACGAGTAATAACACCGGATACTTAAGCTTGTATATTGAGGCTTACGGCCTTGAAAAGCCTCTCCTCCCTGGCTTTGAAAGTGAGAATCCATCAGTCAATTCTATACATCAGATGTACTATTTACGGCTTCTGGTACTTTTCATTGAATAGATGATGAATAATAATTAAGGCTAATAAGGAACATTGCGGAATAACTGAAATTTTATTTGCCATTTTCTGCCAATGAGGAGCAGCAAAGCGCTTTGCTTCTCTCCCTTTTACAAAAGAGCGTAAATTAACATTATATTAAATATTAAATTGATTTTACAAGTAATTTGTATTAAAATTGCTACTGTGATTGACAATAAAATAATAAAATAATAAACTTGTTGAAATTCATAAGATGGCTACGAGGTAAATAAATTAGAATGTAAGTATTTAATTGTGAATAACAAACTCTACCACTGGCCTCATCAATTACCAACGCAGTATGCAATACTTTCATACTCGATATATTTTCTTTTGAAACGGGAAACGGATGCCTGATTTTGATTAATGACAACAAGTATAATTGCATGTTAACCCTTTAACGATTCAAGGATCTGTGATATATTGATACGCCTCATGTTCCTCGATACTGTGTGCATATTATAACGAAACTTGTTTATACGTTATAAAGTGCAGAAAAAACTGCCATCCATCTCGTTTCTTTCTCGGGAAGGACTCAGCAAGTAGATAAGTTTTAAACGATTTCCTTGATTCGAAGTGGACGAAACCCGGTATGCTTCCGGTACAATGTCGCACATACCGTATTCTAGAATTCCTCCTTTCATTCCTCCTTTACATTGCTAATGCCGAGTGGAATAGCTCCTGTAAATCTATATTGATCGCACTCCGAGATAGAGAAACGATTTTACAAAGCCTAAAATCTGAATTAAATGCACTCTCCTTTAATCGAAAGAACGCCAAGAAACGACAAAGCGTGGATTTAAAGGCGAATCGAGGCTTGGCTTGGTCGAGTACTAAAAGTACTCGGAGTCACTTGGAGCGGTAGTTAGCGCAAAATGCAGGGAATTTGGCCTGCCCGATTCGAGATAATACGCGCGCCTAAGATTAAACGGGAAAAGCAAGATTAAAGCTAAGCTGGTAACTCGGATTCCCCAGGAACAGGTTTTGTTACGATGCACCTGAGATGTAATACTTTTAAGTCGGTGCAGCGCTCGGCCGAAGAAGAGCTGAAAATTTTCACTTTTCTCTCGTCTCCGGCCAACGACGTACGTGAATAATCGCAACGCAGGAAGAAAGGAAGAGAGCTGCCGGTCGGCCACGGAGGAAGGAACGACGGTCGGAAGTGCCGACGTCGAGGAAGCCGGGTTCACGAGAGTCCGAGGCTCGCGCGAATGGAAGGGGCCCGTGGCCGACTTCCTCGGACGCGTTTCTCCCCACCTCCCCCGCCCTCTTCCCCTATCACGCCATCTGGCAGCGGAGTTTCTCGGTCACGGCGGCGATGCTCGTACACCTAGCGCTAGCCCCGACGTCGTCCTCGGCATCCGGATCTCGTGAGCGAGCGAGAGCGAGACTACGGTCGGCTCGACGGCGGCGGCTGTGGTGGCTGTTGTGGTGGCCACGGCGGCGGCGACGGCGGCTACGGCGGCGCGTGGACGCCGCTGATTTTTGACCTACAAAAACACCGGGGAGAGAGCGCGCGAGAGAGAAGGAGCGAGACCGGGATGAGGCGTCGGTCCGAGGCCGCGCTCACGAGTCGTTATCGCGGAGCCGTGGCGCGCTGAGCTTACGCGCACCTCATCCGGAGCTCCCTAGTCACGCGGACACAGGATGAGGATGATGAAGGCCGTAGTCGCAGTAGCCGGTCTCCTCCTGCTGGTAAAGCGCCGAGTCGCGTCCTCCGCCTTCCTTCTCCGTCGCCTTCCTCCTCCTATTTCGCCCTTTGACCTTGGCCAAGCGACTCAGCGGGCAGCGCTCGCTGCTAAACCCTTGCGCGCTTAGCCCGGCACGTGGCCCTCGCGCATCGCCGCCTCATCTCCTCCTTCCTTCCTCCTTGCCCATTCTCGTTCATCGTCGTACGCGCGATACTTTCACCGCTGTCCACATCTCCACGCACTTCTTCTCGTTTCTCTTTCTTTTTGAGTAGACGCTCCACGCCGCGCTCTCGGCTACCGAGGTGACGAGGTACGAGGATGACGCGAGACTCGAGGAAGACCTGGACCTGGACATCGAGGAGGACGAGGCCGGGCACGCCGGCATCTCGACATCCTTGACAATCGACAACGGAACCTTGGTCATCGAGCGCAGCGGTGATCGGGATCCTAGACCTGGCGTAAGTTCGACCCTCGACTTTTTAACTCGCCGCTGGTGACGGGTACACGAGCTTTTGGCACTTCGTATATTCGTCCGGGTGAAGTAGCTCGACTCGACCTTCACTTTGCGTGGATCCTTTACACGTCATTATTTTTTTTTTCCTTCTTTGCCGAATATCATCAGCCATGGACTATCTTGGCTTAGGATCTTCTCGATGATGTTATGTTGAAAACGTTACAATCCGCACGCTCGACGTTTACATACGTAATAATGCCCGCTACGAGCGATCTATTATTATCGTTAAATATTGGTATATCAGTGGGTATGTGGTAAAGTACGAGACTTGAGAAAATAGTCTGTATCGATTTGTCAATGTATTTGTAGTTTTATGAATTTGCCTTTGAAATATCTCTTACATGGGATAGCTTTATGTGTCGAGGAGGCTATATAAACGGAAAACATCGAGCAAACACAAACCTTTAACATACGCGTTTCCTTAATGTGTGAACAGATTCCGGTGAAATGACAAGTTATGAGACATTTTTATTTGCTCACAAGAATAGTTTTAAAACTAGTAATGAATTTTTAAAAAGAATCTGTCAGTATTTAAAAGGACTGGTATTCTCTTGATTTTTTTTTTTATAAAAAATTGCTTAAAATATAAATAAATAAACAAAATAATAATAATAATAATAATAATAATAATAATAATAATAATATTATTAAAAAAAAAAAAAAAAGAAAAAAAGGAAACCTCTTAGTATAATTATACCTATATAAAATATCATGAAAATTTGCATTTAAAAGAAAAAATAGATTTGTGTCGTTTACAATCACTTTTTCATTATTTCGATACCTTAATAATACACTTTTACTTTTTCTATTGATAATATTATTATTAATGCTTAGAAATTTGTAAATATTTCGACTATAAAAAAAAAAAAATAAATAAATAAATAAAATAAAACAATTATTCATTGTAATTTAAAAACGTTAAATATATAATAAATTAGAAAATCGCATAAATTATTTCGGAATTATGCAAACTCTTGGAATATAAATTTATTGAAAAGAAAGAAAAGAGATAAAAATATAACGTTGTGTAAAGAACTATTAAAATCTCTGAATATAGTTATTGGGAATACTAAAAGAAATATAACTGATAACTTTATTAGTTTGAAATGAAAGTACTGAAATATTTGCTTATAAATTTTTCGAGTAAATTATTAAATAAAAAAGCTTTGTAATATCTGTGGCTGTGAATAACTTCAGTGATTATCGTTACTATTTTGAAAAATAATTAAATTAATTGTTCCATGGGTGACAGACAACTAACTCTCTAAATATAAATGGGGCAAAAACAAAAATCGTTTATAAAATAAATGTTTAGAACAGGATATTATTTTTTTAATTTATAATTTTAAGTAATTAAATTTCAACACAACTCACTTTCTTTTATTTCATGTGAAACTGTACGGGCATACTTTTTTTTTTTTTTTTTTTTTTTATTCTTACTATATTAAAATATTATAAATGCAAAATATTATTCGTATAATACTTTGAAATTGCTTTATAAAAAGATTATAATAATATCTTGCAAATTTTTTTCTTTAAAAGAACCCTAATTTAAGTAAATATTAACTTAAATTAAAAAAAAAAAAAAAAAAAAAAACAAACCAAAAGCTAATATACATTAGAATTTAGCTACATAAGAATCTTATTATAATCAATTTTTTATTATTTAATTAATTCAAGTATATACCGGCTCGGATGAAAGTATTATAAAGTTTCTTAAAATTTAACATCTATCACGTACCTTTCCAACTTCAGTTCAATTTATCAAGTCCAAAAATAAAATAAAAAATACAATTCTTTAATTATGTTTCGCGAGGAAAGTAATGGTCATTGTAATTATCTTTTCTCGATTCTATAAATCCGCTAATAAAAATCGATAAAGCCTGTGACTCACTCACTCTATTCATCAGGAAACAAGCGATAGTCTGTCGAATTATTTATCATATTAACTTTCGCTTATTAATTCCTGCAGATAAATCGGAATCTTGTCAATCAATAGTTAGAGGAAATGCCTTAGATGCCGCTAAAGTTATTCTTACAATATTTGCCGGGATCGTGATATAAAAAGTAGTTGGCGATTAAATGTCGTTTCTGTAAAAGGTCCTCTTTCGATGGACTGCCATATTTGAAGTGAAGCCGTATGACGAGAACGTTTAATAAGAAAGGGAAAAGACTAGCTGCTTCGGGTAGCGGTTTCAATGCAAAATCAATCAAAATCAACGAGGCGACATAAACTCTTGTGTATACGCAGGTAACGAGCGCAAACGCAACGGAGCAGATGTCGATCATCAAGGACTCGAGAGTGGCCAGCCCCGCCGACGCCACCAATACCTCGGCTACGGATGAGGAGAAGCCGGAACTGCTGCCCGAGGTTCGATACGTTCTTTTTTCTTTAAACGAGCGACTCTGCCATCTTTTTCCATCCGAATGCTAGGCGATAGAAATGTTAGGTCGCGGACGATCTTCGCTCTCACGTAGCCAGCGCGAATTATTCGTCGATCCGTCGCCGCAAGAGAAGGGGATAAAACAAATCAAAGATGCTTGACTATTGATGCAAGGCAAGGCAACTTTTCACTCGCTCGCAAGACTGGCTTACTTCACATTACTAAACCAGATGTTGGATGGCTAATCGGGTTTTTGAGAAAACTATTTACAGAACACACGCGGAATTTTTTACAATCGAGATTCTGCATTTTCGTGTTAATTAATGGGTTGGAAACGCTGAATAGCCCATACCGATAATGACCCTTGTTGAAATTGCTTGGAGAACTGTCAAGGACTGTCGCAAGGATTAGCTTTAGATAGTTTGCGAATTGTTTGTATTCGTTGGGAAAGCGCATTTGAAATTAATTTTTTTTTTTTTATCCGCGTTGCTAGTCTCTGTATAATAGTGCTTACCTAATTGGCTTTTTCATATACAACAAATATCATCGTCGATAAAAATGAAACGATCATTCTGTTTTATAATTGTTTTATACTGAGAAATACACAATTTTATAATTATACTTATTAACGCTTTCGTAATTCAATTGTGTTATTGAATATTATCGTAAGAAAGATAGTAAAGTAGAGATTAATATCGTGTTTTAATGCCTTAGTCGTTTGAAAGATCTCGAGTTTATAAATCCAGTCGCTAAATTAGCACTCTGACACTATGAACTGCAAAATGCCAATGAAAATGAAAGAAAAAAAAAAAAAAAAAAAAATCTTGCTTATAAAAGCTTTTTAGCAAAAATGCAAATGTCTGATGTATTTTTGAATGTTTTTGATGTACGTATCGTAAAGCATAAGTTCGAATTTTTATTAAAACGTTTCTAACTAATCGTAAAGTTCTTTATAATGTTGTGCTAAAGTATGGTAGAGCAAAATGCACGATAACGTGAAAGTAAATTTTGAATAAAATTTGCCGATAACAATCTCGTATTCAATTTAATGTCAGTTTTTAATTTCAAAGGAACGAAATTCCTTTAGCTTACTTCATTTCGGAAAGTAGAGGCAGCGGACAAAGATAAAGAACATATTTCGTTAATAGTTATCAGGTAATTAACCGAATGTAAGAAATAATTTATCCAATTATAGCATTGTATAAAGTTTTTATTTAACAGTTTTTAATAAGATATGTTTTTAATAAGATATTCGAGCTTATAAATAATTAAATCTACGATCTCAGTTGTGATAATTATGGCACCCGATTGCCAAGTTGTATGCACGTATTGATAGAAAGTCTTTTCTCTTTGGGCTTTATAATTCTATATTTATATGCCTAATTAAATGTCAAAATTATTTTATATATTATCTTGGATTCATTAGCTGAATAATTTGAAGTTTCACTTTTTTCATACAGCCAACTTTTATAAAACCTACAGCATCGTCGGTGTACTACTTTCGATCATGATTAATGTCGTCAAAGCAATAAAGCCTTTATATTTAACAAAGCTTTTAATCGTAAACGATTGTATTAGTTGAAGATTATGAAAAAGAGTAAGAAGAATAATGAAAAATTAGAAATTTAAGCGATAGTGATAATGTTTACTGGAAATTACGATCTAATATAGCGAAGATATTAATGTCGTCTTAAATTAAATTACGACTCGATACATGTAAATTACATTTTTCATATACTTTTCCTTAAAACGTTCCAAGTAAAAGTAGTTTTCTCCGAATCAATTATTCCGTTGCATTATACCCACTATATATTAGCAAAAAGGAATTTATTACGACTGTCAATAATAATTGTACATTATAGTTGCAATATTAAGCAAATAACCTGCTATTAATAATAATAGCAAAAGTAAAATAATTGCTAGGTCGTTACATTTTGTTGCATTGTTATTTCCCTTTTTTTCCTTCTTCTAATCTAGTGTTTAGTACTAAGAAGAAATACAATTTCTCGCCTTTTTATATTTAGTCTGAATGCTAAGAAGTCTGGCAGTTTTATTTCAATTGCAGCAACACATCAAATACATTAAAATTGATAATATGTTCCACTAATTCGACTTCACGCTACATACATAAGCGTCTTGAATGTTTAATACAAATGACATGCAACATTTCAAAAAGCATGCTCTCGTCAAATACATCTTATTGCATTCCATGGGACATAATACGTCCCGATTAACGTATAAACATAAAACGTGCGTGCGTGCGTGCGTGCGTGCGTGCGTGCGTACGTGCGTCCGTGCATAAAGCCACTCGTCCCTTTGTCCATAAACAAATGCATTTATTATGTGTGAAACGAGAGACAGAGAAAAGTCTTGTCACAAGAGCGACGCAAAGTGACGATATTAGTCCTTGACAGGTGCGAGAAGACAGTCTCATCGTTGTAAATTCGTCCTCGCGAATCGCAAAGCAACGCTGCTACTCTTTGGGAAACTTCCGCTGAGCCGAGAATCTAATGGAAAAAAAGGACTTTCACACGTAGCACGAGATAGCGATGAAACGGGCGCCCCGAGACCAATATTCTCATCTCCTTGTTTTCCTCCGTCTCTCGATTATGAATATCGCCGACACACATAGCACTCGGTCGAAGTGAACTTTCCATTTGGGCCGTCAATTAGCGCGTGGAGCAATTTTCTCTACCGTGTTTCACGGCTCGGCGTGCGATTTTAGAATGACTTGATTCGTTTTTCTCCACTCCCTCATGTACGACTCATGGCATCGAATTGCAGGCGCTCGAGCTAAGGTACGCGAGGCCGATAAAGTACAGAAGGCGACCCTACTACTCCCTACCAACGCGGCGCTTTTCCGTCAACAGAAGAAACGTCTACACAGGTGAGCATCATTACTTTCGTCCATCTGCTTATAATAAAGTGAGGTGGTTCGATGCCCAGAGCATTATTGGGACAGGTTTGCTCGTTTCACCCACTCCATTGCTGGATGAAAGAGAGGGGGGGGGGAGGGGGGAGAGAGGAACCGACGGTGGGTGGATAGGGGATGGCGACCGATTGTCTCTAATGTTGAATTTTCATATGAGATTATATGGCACTCGAGACTTATTCGAGCAAAGCTTAATCGTAAATTTATCCGTTTTATTTCACGTTTTTTCTCTCTTCCTTTTAGCTTCATTAAAATCATGAGTGTAATTTCACCGCTGCTTTCTGTCCTCGTGTACGTTTTCTCCGTTTCGGTAATCGATAAAAAATTGTATCTCGAGTACTTTATTTATGTCTTTATGTGCAATACGTGTAGAGCACGTCTTACATACTTTCTGCTACGTGATATTTATCCTTCAGTTTGTAAGTGTGGTTTTAAGGTCACTTACACTGTCGTTCACATTTATACTTTGAATAATACATCTTTATGAATAAATAATTAAATAATAAACCTCAAATCTGGCCAGTTCCATAAAATGTAGACAAATATATTTAATGATGCAACGCATGCAATGTAAGCAAATATAGAGTGCAATGTACGCACTTATTTTTCATGAATATTCATTTTAGAGAATCCGCTGCAATGGATAATCGCAATAAAACATACATTTTATCATTAAACACTTGTTATTTAAACGTAGTTATTAGCCATTAAAATACAATGATTAATCCGTAACTTCATTATATACTAAATGCAAAAGCTAATCAGCATTACTTAATATTTTTATATTTTCATTATCACCGGTCTACTTTGAATTTTAGATTTATACACTCATTAAGTCAAAAGTAAGCAATAAATAAAGTGAATTAAAATATCACCTTGTTTAACAAATTACGATACGTCATGTACTTAAAACTTTTACTTTTTAATTAAACAACTTCTATCAAAGGATTTCATTTTTACGATGCATACGCTTACACATTGCATATCCTTCAATCATTTTCCCTTGGAAACTTCTTTACACTCAAATTATTCACTGGATAAATTAACTATTACTTTAATAATACGAAGGAATTTATTCAAACGATCTATTATTCTTTATTTCGGAATAACGTAGTCTTAATACAGTTGTTATACTTCTGCCTAAATTAATTACAATTAATTTGAAAGCGTAGAAAATTAAATTACCTCAATGGGATAATAATTAGGCAAGAAACGCGAAAGAAATTGCTATTATTTGCCATTTAAGACGTTACATTGTAATTGTGTTCATTTTTAAATATTTATAACAGTTAATAGCTTGTGTAATTATTAAGTGCAATAAATTGGATGTATTTTTTCTCTTATAAATTTAATAATATTAATGCCTAGAATTTAATACGTTTTCAAAAAGAAAGAAATGGAAGAGAAAAAAAAAATCATTTAAACACTCGAGCCGACATTGTTCTAATTAAAACGAGTATATTCTAAATTATTTCTGCCTATGGAAAAAGATATACCATTCAAGATAACGTTAATTACTTTCGTACTATGAACTTTTGTTTGATCTGAAATTGCAAGCGATTCGATTAAATTTCCCTGTTAAAGCAACCGCGCTCCAGCAATTAAATCGATAGACCATCGATAAATAAAATATCTCAACGATACTACAATCATTAGCGACAATCTTTGTCATAAATTACCTTTCCTTCATTTCTCCACTTCTTTAAAGAATACAAAAAAGGGATAAAACCTTCATTTTCTTCTTGAATGTTCAAGATAAACCAGTGCGACCGCTATCGCGACCTACGAGAAGGCCGTCCGATCCAAAAAGAGCGCCAACTGAAAGCGAATGCACTTTCTTTTCGAAAACCGTTTGCTTGGAGGCTATCGATTATCCCATGTAAGTATTAAATCAATTAGAATGTATCTAGAAATAGAATACAAATATTTGCTGGATCATAATTTTTTTTTCAATTTCGAATTATTTATGAATAACCAGCAACTTTCACTTGATGTGAAATTGAACCGATTAACCAAATCACCCGTTTTCACGACAAAATATTACTATAAGGCTCTACATTGCTTAGGGAATATTTATTTATAAACTTATATGAAATATGTATCTGTATAATAAAAACAAGAGGTGAAACAAATGAAAACGTTTTGATGAAAACGAAAAAGGTTTTGCAACCTAAAAGTATTGGCACAACATATAAGACATAAGAAATTTTCATTAGGAACAGACATGTACAATATTGCATTTATTTATATTATTTAATGACTTTGATTACGTTAAAACAAATGTTGTTATTCTAATGATTATAGATCGAAATTAGTTAATTTGAGAAATACGTTTCCAACAATACTAAAGTCTGCAATATAATTTTTAAGTATTTTATATGCATATAAATTAACTTTATCTTCTATTATGAAGTTATTTAGCAATAAAACATATATGTATTGGGAAATGTTTATTTTTGCATTCGGAGCTTTTAATTATAAGTTAGTGGATGTTGGGACTCGTTAGACATAATGAATGGTATATAGTGAAATATATCGCGCTGCTCTTAAATTAAATGCATGCTCAATTAGATTAAAAAAAAAAACAGAAAAAAAAGAAAGAAAAGAGACTAATAGCCATTAAGAAAAAAAATCAACGATTAATTAATAAGTTTTGTCGTATTAATACATATTATTACTATTACATAAATAATAACAGCGAGAAAAATTAAAATAATTACATTAAATTAATTAAATTAATTACAATTTTTGCATTAATTTTAATTGATTCATTAAGGATTGAATGAATTGAATTATTATTTGAATTGTGCTTTTTAATAAGTTAAAAATAAGACTTTTACAATAATTGTAATATTTTCACTTGTATTCTAATTATTATTTATATAAAGAAACACTTTTCAATCCCTATATAGTTTTACTATTGTCTTTAATGCATTATTTTATGGTTGAAAATAATTTTCCACAAAATTATAATTGAATGTAATTACATGTCAATATACCTTACGAGCACCACAAACAGAAATAAATTACTGTTGCTGTCATCTCAGAGAGGAGAGAAGTCTTAAATACCTGTCGGCACTCGTATATAATACAACGAGTTTATTTTTAATAGTTTGTATCCAACAAATATTACCTTCATCATTTATTATTCTGTCTCCGTCTATTTTTCTTAGTGAAGCCATAATGAGAAGCATTCGGAACAATAAAGAAATGGTCGATGCTCTACTGGCGGATTTCAAACTTCAAGACGGTGGATTTACCGAGGACGAAGATATTCCTCAGTCATCCTACAAAACAGGCTTTAACAACAGATATGATAAACGATATGAAAGTCCTTTGGAGACGAGCAATGAGATCAAGAGGTGAGCCTACGTACGATTGGCGCCTGATGCTCGATTGTACGCGTACTAGATTGTATGACGGGATAGAATTATCTAGGGGCTAAGGAATCGTAGCTTGTACGCTTGGTTATACGTTTATTGCATTACAAGACATTACAAGTCATGAAGCTTTTCTTTTTCATTTGGCTGCTCCTCGTGCAATTAAAAAGTCGAAGAGTTTTTGTTGAAGTAAATTTATAAATTTAAAATATAATGCTAAAGTTCTGCGATATTATGTATAAAAATTTTTCACCTAATTTCTCAAAAATATTCTACATTTATAGTATTAAAAGGAAACTAATAATATATTTAAGTGAAAATGACAAATAAGTTCTTTATAATTATCGTAGTAATTTTTTTTTCTTTTTTTTTCATCTTTTTTTTTTTTTTTTTTTTTTAATTCTTGCTGCACTAAAATAAAAAAAAAACTATTACAAAGAAAAGAAACAACGACGACAGGAACAGAATTTCCATATAAATTCAATTATAATGGTTCTTTTGGGAACGAAACAAGAAAAAAAACCTACTTCCTCGGTTTATGTTGTTAAAATTTTATTACTTCCAATTATGTAAATAATTTTTATTTAAAAAAATTTTATATTGCTCTTTAAAAACACAGTATCAATGCACAATAATTTTCGAGTCAAAAGTAATATTTTACGCTCGTCTAGTATTATACATATTTACCAAGAAACGTTCTCTACATTATAGAAAAGGATCGCGACTGACTGCACGCAAACGTTTTTCCGCTTTACGATGCGTACATAACAGCATAAGGGAATGTATATGCTCTCACGTAATAGAGAATCACTAGTGATTATAAAAATGATATGTTCCTGATGAACAGTCGAGCCATTTCAAGTCGGACCTTAAAATTTGGCATTTTTAAGAACTACTAAAATGACGTACGAATAAACGCGCTCAGCTAAGTGTCGGAGCAGCGTATAAATCACGACTGCACTCCAATGAAATAAATGTACACATTCTATGTTACATAAATAGATATATGTTGGTGTGCGGTTGTACATGAGAAGTTACGGAGTTTCGTAGAAAGGTTCCTCAGATCGCGCGATAAATCAAATTTCCGCGAATGGAAGCGAATGGAAGCGAATGAAAGCGGGCGGTAGTGGGTGGTTGAGTGGGTGAGGAAGGGTTGTAGCCTCGTGGACCGTTTCGCGGGAGCATGGGCGACCTCCCGCAGTGTCCTAAAATTGGGTCCGCGTGAGTTACGACCCTGGCACGATAATAACCGGAGACAATGCGTTTGCTTCTTGCAGGAGGTACGAATTCAACGCGGCCGACGAGGCCAAGGAGGGCTACACGTGTCCGTCCCAGGTGAAATACGCGAGGCCGCAGTTGGCGCGGGCGGCCTCCGGAGTCTGGAAGTACATCATCAACACGGGCGAGCACACGCAGACCCTCAGACTGGAGAAGTGCACGTGAGTTGACACACCCGACTTAGCGGGCTACACTCGCCAACCTGGCCGACTCTACTTCCCGTCTCCAATGATTTATCTGGCTGCTCGCTCTCTCCCCTTATATTATTCTTAGTTTCTTAAGAACAAAGAGCGACCGGATCAGGAGCACAACGACACATTTCCCACCGATATACCTCATCCTTACTTAACTTCATCAACAGTAGCGTATTAATAGGCATTTTAAGCCAAGAGAGCAAACATCCTGGCGGCACACGTATCTGCAATCTGCTCTATCTGAGTTGTGATCGCATCGTCGATGCTGATGGGCAGAATTAATTAAAATCTACTTCCACCGTCCCCCCAACCCCATCCCCTCCTATTCGGCTTTATCTCATCAGACTATCTATCATATTACTTTGGGATTGTTACATTTTGAAAATTAACGAACGCCGCACTTAATTATTAGTAAATACTTAGTAATTTTGTTGCCCGTCGTTACATTATTACCAACTAATTGAGAGCGGTTTTCCTTCTGTTTATCTTTGTTTTATTTTTGTTATAATTGTATGTCCTGTAAGCGCGGAGGTTTGAGCGTTTTGCATTTTGAGGATAACTTAACGACGAGATTAAAAGTTAAATAAGCGCTTGGCATTGTTGGTACGCGGACAGTGGTGGATCATCATGGTTCCGATGAACTGAAAATACTTTTTTTTTTCTTTTTTTTCTATTTTATTATTTTATTTTTTTTTTTCATCTTTTACGGCAAGGCAGAGAGACGAATGAGATAAATTGAGAATTTTTAAAGCTGGAGTCGATGGCTTTGACAAGCGTTACTCACTACTCTTCGCGAAGTATTAACATTTTTCCAACATAATTGCAAATAGCCGACAAGATTTACGAGCCTATGGATTTAGCGCTGGACAAACAGATTGTAAGAATTCTCAGGAATTAAGAAATAAAATTGAATATTGGTTTTGAAGTTAATTAAAAGTCAATAAAAACAGGGGAACAGTGGCTTACGGTGAATATACCGTCTGAGTTTGTCTCTTTTATCGGTTGTTACGAAGTGGCTTTTCTTAAATCTACGTTTTTTTTATTTCTTTCTTTATTTATTTTTTTTTTTATTTTATTTTTTTTTATTTATTATACGAACACAAATAATGTCCTAGTTGCGTAAATTTCTAGGGGTTTAATAAGGTTGAGAAACGTTTACATTCACGACAACGTGACAGGGGACTTATTGAAAGGAACTACTTTTACACGAACGTGAAAATGGAGACAAAAAAAAAAAAAAAAAAAAATGATTTTTTGTTTTGTTTTTATACGCTCGGTGTATACACAACGTTATTGATAAATTCAACTTTCATTTGAATTTTAAATTAAACAAGATTTGCCTAAGAAACTTTAAGCGCAGGTTTCATTTGTAATTCACCAAAAATACTTAATTTTAAAGACTCGAGGCTCTATTTACTTACTTTTCAAATATGTACATGGCACTCTGTAAAATTATCGTAGTATCGTCGTCTGTCTCACCTGCTGTGAAAGTAACACAACGAGCTACATGTTGCTTTCTTGGGTAATACTGTTTATATTTAATGGCATGGTATTTTAATGTACGCTTCTTGTCAATTTTTCTCCATCGCCTGTTGAATGGATCAGAATTCTCGTAACTTTGTGAACAATATGTAAAGGAAGTGCTTGAAAGTAATATTAAGGTAAAAGCCAATCTGATTACCAATTTAAGTGCAGAGTGTTATTTCTCTTTTTGAGAAACTGTATTCGTCATTACGTATGTAAATAGAAAAAGGTTCGAGTCGAGGACGGAAAGCAATATTTACGCAATGTGTAAAAGTGATTTCTGTTTTCTAAATAGCAAGAAAATTCTTTCTAATTTATAAAAATAGCACGAACTTTTTGTTGCGCTTCGTTGCTCAATCTTAAGATAGTGTAAAGACTAAAATCAAAGAAATAGTAAGTTTGTAAGTGTGTATACAGTGGCGTGCATAAGTCATCGATCGCTGGTCCTCCAAGTTCTCCAATCGAGTTCACGGTGACTAAAAAAAGCGTGAATAATCGTTTATCGGAAGCCGCTTCATAAAGGAAAGTGTCCAAGACCAGCGAGCAGTGATTGGAGATATTTCCACGCGGAGATGGGCATTTTGTACATTGCCAAGCCTCGAACGAAATATTCCATGTTGAGTAAAGTCTTTAAGTGCAATAAGGCTTCGGTATATCCACATTACGCTTAGATAAATAAACGGTAGTCTTCGATGCCGAGGGATTGAATTGTTTTTATAAACTATTTTAACGGCTTTCTCGGCAATAATTTATTAATTATTAATTTAATCTTCACAATTTATAATTTTATAGGCGATCCGATAGAGTTTGATGGAATGAAAATACTAAAAGTTAAGCTTTATCATTGCACAGAATTCCCTTCTTTTTTTTGTTCTTTTTTCCTTTTTTAATTAATAAATATCACGATGAACAATTTTTTAGACAAAAATTAAACGGACTATTTTTATTTACAATTTAATCGTTAAATAATATTAGCATTTGAAAAATTACACACCAATTTTAAATAACATTTTTCAACGACTTAGAGTGAAAGTGGAAGTAAATTCTTGAAAATTTTATCCAGTCCCTAGATATTAAAGTATAGTACAATAAAAATTTTACTATCATCGTAGAAGGAATATTTATTATTATTTTTTTATTTTGCCTAATTAGAATATTTGTCGTGGTGAGTAATAAATTTATTATAATACATATACTAAGCTAATGTGAGCTTTTCATGTTAACGAATAAAATTTTTATGGTGAAATGAAATTGTTACAAAAACCTAAATTAATTTAATTATATTAATCGTTCTATATTAATCGTTCAAATTCTTCATATAAGTTCGTTATTTTAAGGAATTCAATTATTGGCAATTTAAAATGGACATAAAATTTTATTATACATTATAGTGTAAAAAATTCATATATATATATGTCTTTTATTTGATTAGAATTGCATTGTATTCTATTAGATTTTATTCTATACAGGATACATTAATGTCCTTACTATACAATGCCATTTTACTGTAAATTTTTGTTTATATTTTGTTAAAATATCTATCCTGTGATTAAATTTAATATTGCTTTATTGCTAATGCCGACTTTGAAAAATAAATGTTTCAAAGTTAATTTTTTTTTTTTAAGCCTTAGGTCAGATAACAATTCGCAACAGTTTTCACTTTAATAAAAGCAATATTTGTTAAAATTAATCTCTATAAGACTGTTGCTTATTATTTTGAATTATATACATTTATATACAATTATTCTAATACAATACAAATTTGACAATTGAATCATTACACATACATCATTGGCCATTTCGTTATTTCTTTATGGGACCATCTAATCCTTATTTTAATAATAGTTATGTTAAAATTTTTTCAACTTGTTCTTCAATTGAAAAATTTTTTTATCTTATCAAAGAACAAACAAGGAATCGCAATTGATAAACGTATTACTGACCGAAAGACTTTTATTTTCTATTAGTGTACTATTTTTTAACGAACATCACACTAATCCCATTCATTTCAATATAAAATAATATCTTTGTATTTATCAAAATCAATAAAATAAGATAGAACTTTCATTATTTTAATATTTTAATCTCCAATATTATACGCTTTATGAGAAAACTTTTTAAGTTTTCGATTCAAATAATTTTAACTTTCCATTCAACCTGTTTCCAAATTTAATTTTAATTGAAATTTAATTTAAATGACTTCCTAGTGAAATTATCCTTTGACGGAGCCAATTTTATTTTATAAGAAGGTCAATTAGCGGTTTCTTCTGAATTTATCGCATGAAATTAATAAAAATATCATTATATTTTTTACAATTAGTTATTGCGTAAAAGATGATTAATACATAGAAGTCTGTATAAAATATTTCTTCGTTAGACTCTCGTTCACACGTGCCACTCACTACCTACGCGTTGTTTTTCTTCTCCAATTCTTTCGTTTCGCACTGACTATGGAAAATCACTAACTCATAACAATTTGGCAGTTTCATAGTGAAAAATTGTCATCGAATGATCGATTAATTCGCGACGCGCGGGGCCATTGCGGCTTTATAAATTCCAGCACTAATCTACCGCTTTCTGCACGCTAATAGTCGGACGAGATTTCCGTTTTTTATCACTAGGAACTTCCCCTTGATTGCATAAAACGTAAAGCAGCTTTTCCTGTGAATCCGAAAGGACTAGCTCAGCTCTTTCGTAATCGACACTTGAATTATTTTCCAACATCAGCGCTATCGACACTTTCTGATTTAGTAAAATTAGTAGTGGAAGCAAGTAGAAGGAAAGTAGAAGGAAGGCTATTTTAAAAATTCGTCTCAGTACTTCAGGCTATTATTATAATCTAGAAAATAATATTTATCTCGTATCTGTACATTGTTTATTTACAATTTAAAGACAATTACATTTTTTATTCATAATAAATTTATATACTCTAAAGAGCAGTAGCTTTCATACGCAACAATAATACAATCGATATTAAGAATTGACAAATTGTAAATGTAATTACGAATTATTCAGATTATTGAAAAATCAAATTTATTATGTACAGATAGATATATTTACTTATTGCATAATATCATTATTAAAGAGTCAAAGATAATTTCTTATAATATATCCTCATTTTCATTCGCTAATATGTAAACTTCATGTATTAGTTAATACTTCTATAATCATGGTAATTCCATGATATTTATATTATAGTTCAACAAAATATGAAATAAGATTTCATAAATTTTGTTATTATCATAGAAGTAGTTGTTGGATAAGAAAAGAAAAATAAAAACATCAAGTTTGTCGATTTGAATGGATTAATAAGCAATTTTACCAATAGATTCCACATTACTTACGAGTTTATAAATTTTTAAATAAATTATCGTGAATCTAAATTATTAGTTATCGATCGGCTATCGATTGAAAAGAGTTACGGCTCATGGGAGAGCAAGACAATATTATTGCCAAAGATAAAATTACAAGAAATACGCTATTTCGTATCCGCGCAATGGTAAACTGCACGAGCGTTAGTTGCAACCTTGGACTCCACCCTCTGGGATACGGCCAAGAATTTCAAATCGATCCATATACTTTCTTATTGAAACTTAATAGATATAATTTAAATATGGAAATTTGCGGTGAAATGAGAAAACTTCAAGCTGATCGGAGCAAATTGATTCTTATAAATTCTTATAAAGAAATATCGTACAGGATACTTCACAATCCAATAATAAATTAGCTTCCCACAATTTCTTAATAAACTAAGCTTTGCTTAATTTTCAATATAAATGAAAATTTATAATCCAACAATGTGAAGACTAGACTATAATCACAAACTATAATTATAAAACGACTCGGTAGAATGAAGTTGAGCAATAAAGTAAAAGGAATAATATTGTAATGCGTTTAACAATGAAATAATGAAGAAAGTCGATAAAACGTAAAATCTCGATTTTAAAATGTGAAACGATCGTTGTGAAATCAAATATTAGACACGCATTTTATCAATCTAAATATACTTATCATCTAAATCCCTCGTGCAAGCGAAAAAACATAATAACAATTACTTTATCGATATAATAAATAATAACTAATGATGGAAAGACATGGTAATTAGAAGTACGATTGAGTAACACATCCCGCACAATTTACGTACGCGTTTTTCTTATAATTACGTACGACGGAGCTTAATTTTTAATAAATATTATAGTAATTCTTTTAATTTACGCAATAGCCATTACTCATTCATTAAAAATATTTCGTACTTCTGGATAATGAAATTCTAATATACTATATGACGCGTTACGTTCAGGGAAAAAAGAATTGCTCAGAATTCAGAATTGCTTTGAGTATACTATTAAGCTGAAATTTGTTGTTAGAAATAATTTTCCGAATGAAAATAAGTCAGATATCTATTTGTATCGTATGTACAATTTATATTACTTTAATATTTAACAAGACGCCTTTCACAAATAGAAAGTAGTCTCCTTAATTTTCTATTATTTGCGAAAAGTATATACGACCGCTAGACGCGATTTACGATGATAATCATAATAACAGCAACAACAATAACAATAATAATTTTAATTCACAGCACGAATCAATCTTTTACGTATAATTCCGTTGAATTCTAGAAATCCTCACGCGAGCTGCTCTTTCATCTCGGAAAATTATCGTTCATCTTGCATACAAGTCTACAACTATCATCGCCTCCTTACCTGGGACTCTAAACTCGGTTTGCACATGGATATTTTCAAGATTCCCACCTGCTGCAGTTGCCACGTCCATGGATACACGGATCTTTACCCTCCACATCAAACAGATCCACCCATTAAATCGCAAGAATTATTCCCAGGAGCGGATTTTGCTATAAGTGATCATCAGTTTGCCAAAGGTTTGCATAATAGCTTACGCATATATCACACATACTAATACTTAATACTTATGTGCATTATAAATTGCGACGTTAGTACATAAATATACGGGGAAGTGTAAGAGGATAGTGTATTTCTGCAGAATAGAAATTAAAATATTTTACAAAGAAATGCAATGGCAAAGTCGCTCGTTGACGTCTTTATATTATTATCTCATTAACTGGCGGCGTCAATTATACGTTTGTCTTATATATAATCGCAGTAGATATAATGATTCAGAAGCGTATAATTATTAATGTACTTGAACAAATAAGAATACTGGAATACTTTCGAAGAGACGAGTGAGTGATATTTATCATTCGAGATTTATTTACAATTTTCATATGTATAAATTGGATAACAAAATCATTTTAAACTTTATAAGATAATTATAATTTTATATGAATCGCGAGCTCAAATTAAACGCAATTTATTTCATTAAATGAACAAATTAAAAGCAACAAAATTAATTATATTCCATTATCGAATATATTTGATTGACATATAATTTATGTATATTTAAGTTTAGTAAGTACTTGAAAGACATTCTTTTATTTCTTATTCAAATGAAATATAAAACAAAATTTCTTAATTCTTTTTGTCTTCATAAAACAGAATTTATTTTTCCAATATAATGACATTGTACGTCACATGAGATTATCGTAAAAATACGTTAATTTATCAAATCAAATAAAAAATTATATTGCTTTAAGAATTTCACATTATTCACTAATTTTGCTAAATAAAAGGTTTGATAGTTTTGTCAAAAAATAATGACATTTACATCGGTTGCATATTAGCGTTAAATAATATTACCACGACAAATAATTTATAGCAGTAATTTTAGGAGGGAGAGAGACAAACAAATGTTGAAAAATTGATCATTAGCTATATTTAGATTTTTAATTTATAAAACAAATAACGATAACTGATGGTTCGTGTAATTAATTATCGTAAGAAATCATATTTTCGTTTACTTTTATATTTTCGTTTATATATCGTTTATATTTCATGAATATCGGTCGCCTATTACTCATCACAGACATTCAAGTCCAATAAATTCAAATACCAACATACAAATGCACAAGTACCATTGCTTAATACCATTGCAGATTTAGTCTCAATTAAATGGCAAACAATACTATAATGATCATTGCATCTCCTTCCCTCTCAGCTCGAAAAATCATCCTTACAACGTTCCATTTAAAGTAATCTTTTAATTAGCTTCGATTATCTCCTACCCTATCAGGCTCCAACCACGTAAACAAGTACGCCAACAACGTCGACTCGGCCTCGATGAATTTCTTCCGCGAAAGTTACGGCAATAGTGGATCGGACGAGGACGAGTCGCAGTTGCAGCACTCGAGCAGCGCTCGGAGGCCCAGCGTCGCGAAGCCGTCGAGGCCCAGGAAACCTACGAGCGGCTCGAGGCCCTTCGACAAATTGCCACAGCAACATGCGCCCAACACGCGAGCACCGGGATACAAAGGCCCAAGACCCCATAGGCCCAATCGGCCCTTTCGTAGAGAGTCAACGGCGTCGGAGACTCAGGATTATCAAGAAAACCCAGGCAATATTACAATCAATAGGTAAAACCATCCAGGACATCAATCCTTTTATTTTCGCACTTTCAAGCATTTCAATAATATTCGATTTTGGATTGTTTATTACCTCGAAAGTTTTATTTGAGATCGAGAGCTACGGCATTGATTTACGTTTTGTAAACGATTCTTCGATGTCATTTAATTTTAACTGCAATTGTGAATTTACTTCTTCAGGTAGAGACGAGATTTTTAAATTTGAAGCTCCACTTTCAGAAAGGTTATGTTATACTTACTAATTTTCAGATTTATCGTAATGGAAATTGTAGCAATCTCGCTCAATGATAACAAGCTATTTATTTTAGTAGATACCTAATATTATAACAGTACCGTTAGTTTTCAATATTTCATGGCCAATCAATGAAATTTCACGATATAAATTCTAGGATAATGTGAAAAGTAATATTGTTTATCCGGTAATTAATAAGCTTAAATTATAAAAACAATATTACTTGCGAAGTCAGTCTAATGATAGAGTTTGTAATAATCACATTATAAATTGTTAAATATTCTATGCCTGTATAGTCGCGTATATAACTTTATAAGAAATTATATTATACAGCTATTTTTATATAGTGGTAGTGGGCTCACCAGCTTTTTTTTTTTTTTTTTTTTTTTTACCTTTATAATCCCTGTGGCTCTATCGGATAAATATTGCTATGCAAATAAGAATTCCTTTTTCATTAAAAAACTTTTTTTTAATAATATAAATATAAGCGCAAGAATAATAATAATAATAATAATAATATGATTTTTATTGTTGAACGTTGAATAACTTATATTCTACTTACATTAATAGATTTAGCCAGGCGTTAGAGCAAGTCCCGTCAGAATCAAGTGTGCGATTACAAAATGGAGGCTTCGACGATGAGTTCCAGGAGCCACAAAGGCGAATAAACTACAATTATCATCCAATCATCGATTTTTTCAAGCCCGAGGCAGCGATGCTCAAGTCGGAAGAGTCGCTTAAAACGTCCCCCTTAAAGATGCAAACGAATAATGACTCTTGGAAACCTATTTTTAAGCAATAAAATTTCGGAGCACTTCCTTTCATCAAATGTACCTGAAATCTCACTAGCAAAGCAACGAAGGAAAGAGAATGAAATGAAAATTGACTCGCTGTTCTATTTATAAGCTTTTATAGATAAGATTTATTTATCAATAGCATTACGGACTCTTTAAAATTCGCAACTTCACGCCTATTTATTGATTTGTGTCATTGTTCAATTGTTGTCTCTCATTAGTTCAATTAATTATAGCGTTCTATCTAATGTAATTTAACTATTATTCTGTACATGTGTTTAATTATTAATTTTATTTATGTTGTATTATATACAGAAAGATTATTACTTATTATACTTATAGATTATTATTATTATTATTATTATTATTATTATTATTATTATTATTATTATTATTATTATTATTATTATTATTATTATTATTATTACCGTTGTTGAATAAAGAAAGATGCTCGCAAGACTTCTTTATAAGAAAGTACGTGGTATTTGATTTTTTAATTAACATTTGCATTTGACTCGGAGTGCGATTATTCCTGCGCGAAAATGGGATAGAATTAAATTATTGGCAGAGCTATCGTGTCTTTGATATAATCATTAATTTATTGTCTCGTGCACAGTGACGACAATGAGCGAATCCTACCCCGTTGCAATCGTCAATCCCAATCATGAATATCTCGTGTGCCCTCGACGCCTCCTCGGAATCCGTAATAAAAGGGAAAAGCCGACGCAAAGCAGAGAAATTCCCAATGCCCAAACGAACCTCTCCCTCCGCATCGCCAGCGGCAAGACAAAAACAAAACAATGGCTCATCGAACGTATACGGATTATGCTTGTAGCGTTCTGGTCCGGTAGGTCCTACGAGCAAAATCAGTCCAGTGTGACGCCTGCCTCCCGCGCTTGTCTATAAAGTTCGCCGAGAGATCAATTTGAACGCCCGTCATCATTTTCCCATTCTACCACCGGCCTGCGTCTATCGCTAAGGAAATATAAATTAGTCTAGAGCGAGCCCATTGCGGCCAGTGCTGTTCGATATCTCGTAAGAACGTGTTGTGGGTTACTGGATGGATTTCAATCCATCGAGACGGATCCATAATAATTCATCGCCGTAATTTAGCATAAATATCTCGTTGTTATAGTTCGACACCCGTGGAAAAATAATTTCCTTTATCCTTACGAGGTCCCGCGGATTACTAAACTGAGAAAATAGACTTTTTGAATAGGGAGAGTACCGCCAATAGAGTATAGGAATAGCGTGCTGCGGTGCTCTTATAGTGCTACTGGTGCGACCTGCGTTGAGCATTATAAATTTCGGATGTGACGAACAATGAGGTGAAAGCAATGATTCGACGGGAATATTCGATATTGATTTTGTTGCTATTAGTGGCCGATCGCGTTTGCTCGTCGTCGCTCGAGCAGCGAACGAATGCCAACGCTGATGTGCTAAAGCCATTCCGGGGCGATTATGCAAGTGAGCCAGAAGAAGATTTAGAATCGGGAGTTTTTCCGAGAAATAAAGTGAAGCGCGACGATGGCGCGACGAAGAAACGTCGTGGCATGGATGCGCAAACTGATGCAGATATCGCACCGAGCGACGGCAGCTACAATAGTATTCCAACAATGTTTCACGATCGTCCGAACTCATCGGCCGACACTCGCGAAGATAACTATGATCCTCAAGGGCCACCAGATCACGTTATTCCATTTTCGGAACACGAAAATCCTAATGAGCCATCGACGCGACCAAATTATACAGCTCCGGGTGAGTGGGCCAAACCACCAGCGGACAGAAATATTTCACTTGACTTTGTACCGAGCAAATTGTACGCTCGAGTGCGTGGCACACACACGATTAAGCGCTTGCCACGCGACGAAGCCATTAAAAGTGCAAAAACCGACGAAGAGAAGGCGAATGCAGCGAGATTGAAAGAAGTTGTAAAAATCTCGAAATCCAATACTGTGTACACGGAAGAAGGCTACGAAGATGCCGCATACGATCACGCGGGCCAAATACGAGACGCTGACTATCACGAAGGCTACGATAAAAAGCTGAAAGCAAATTTGGAGAGGAAAAAAGTTGATCCGAGCAGCGAGGACTCGAGCGACGCCGAGGGACCATTCGAGCATCGCAAAAAGTTTGAAAAATTGAAAAATTCGAGCTTTGATTATGGGGACGGTGTGAGGGAGGCAATCCAAGAGGCTCGTTTAACAAATCAGCAAATATTACCGAGTAATCCGAAGGCTCCCAATAGCAAATCAAACGAGTCCCTTATTAATCCAAAATCAATTGTACTCGATAGTATTTTGCGGCTCGAACAAGATCTAAAGAAGGTATCTTATGAAAATCAAATGTCATCAACGGAGCCATATCGCGTCGCGTCAACTCACGTGCCACCACCAGTAACAGAGTCGACCTACGAGAACAAAATCGATTATGAAACGACAACGTTAAAGTCCTTAGCCTACACAATAAGGCCGCGAAAATTATCGGCAACGTTGTCGAATGCACGTCCGAGGTTAAAACTCAGGCGACCAAGCCACGATCAACTAATTATTAACAACAACCACAATAATAATAATAATAATAATAATAATAACAATAATAATAATAGTCAACATGATTCGAACAATTCGTATAAGAGTAAGCCAGTAATAGCAGGCAATGGACACATGTCGCGGCGATATTTTACCAACGTGGTCAAAGAAACAACCACGCAAACATATTCTCCCGACTATGATGAATCTCGAACGGTGAATCCAATTGTAAGTAATCCATTGGGGACTGCGAATGTAAACGGACACGGACCTTACCGTCCAATGGTCACGGAACAACCAAATACTTTTAGCCCGAATCCCCTCGCCAACCAAGCTGCGGAAACAACGATTAATTACGTCACCATACGAAGGAACAACGTAAGCACAACAACGCCAACGTCGCCCCCTCCCAAGCACAATTCATCATTCAAAACGGACGCTCAAATGACCAAGGCGACAAATAAACATAATGTGCCCCGTTATGCCTATAAAATGGAGCATCGAAAAGAGCACCCGGAAGTGCATAAAGAGAGGAAAATTAGCGAGAAGAATTTTAAGCTTCCGAAATATAAATCGATGCCAAATCACGCGAAAGTACTCCAATATCTGCGAAACGAGAGAAAGGATTCAAAGAGACAAAATTATGTCGATTATTATGCGCTAATGCAGCCGTTACAACCCTCTTACGATCTCCTCACCTATCCACATCATTTACACGAGTCTTACAGAATGGTGCCTGAGCATTGGTCCGTGACTCATGAGAGCAACAGACCCGTAGAAAGCACATACGATGTGACGGAAAGCGTTGGCATCGATCCGGCGCTGCAAGAAAGTACGATGCCCGTGGCGAAGCTGCTTCCACCTGCCCCGCTGAGTACTAGCGAGTACTCGAGCTTCCAATTGCAGGGCAGAACGAGCGAGTCGATACCGTCGTCGATCATAAGCTTCGTGCCCATCATCGCTGCCATTCATAGGCACAAATCCGATCGAAAGGCCATTCCTTTCTTCTTCCGAAAAAAGAGATCGCTCGGTCCTTCGCGCGAGCTCGAAATCTTACAGAGGGAACAGAGAGGAGAAAACGAGGTACTCGCTGCTGCCGTAAACGCGCGCATTTCCAATGACAATGGCGACAAAGCAGCTACCATTAATAATTATCCGGGAAATTTCGATGATCTTTTAGACGAAGCTCCGATAATAGTATCGAGGGAATTAAATAAAGAGATCGCCGAGCGATTTAAGGATAATTCAATGGACGAGTTGGAAGGAGAATCGGAGGAGCGTTCGAGTTATGAATCGGATGATGATGTTTTGAGTATGAATTTGCGAGTAGAAAATGATGAAAGTGATGAGAATTCGACGGAAAAAGATCCGGTAAGAGTTGCAGTTCCAGAGCTCGACTTTGGTACGGTCTTCGAAGAAGACAAAGTCGAGGAGCCTCCTATAAAAACCCCATCTCGCATCGACATGAAAAAATATCCTTTTTATGAAAATCACGACATTGGGAAAAGTACGGCTTTAAAATATATCATTAATCCAATGGAAATGCCGAAAAAGACATTTGGCGGCATGGAGTTTTATGAGTCTAGAAATCTGGAATGCGACGAAATAGATCCGAGTTTGGAAAAAATTGTACCGGAGGAAGATGAGTTGGCGAATAAACGGGGATCCCGAAGGAGTAAGCCGAAACTCCGTGGTCTAGGGAGCAAAGTCGATTGTTATAAAGCCAAATATTTCGATAGCAATCCATTTGATAATCCATTATTTTTGGAGAAAGGCGTGGAGAATCCATCGCCACCAGTGGAATTGGATCCTAAAAAATTTGCTTCGAGGATAATGAAGTTATCGCCAGAGAAAGTGGAATATGTAAAACCAAGAGGTCCAAAATATCCGGAAGAGTTTACTCTAAGGAAAGAACCGTTAAAAGTAAAAAAATCTTCAAATAATTTCTACAGCGAATCAAATGACAATGATCATTACGGCTCGCGTTTCGAAAATCCCCGCTCAATGCAAAATCATTATTATCCACGACATCGTAAGCCGTACAAGACAATGGTGCGCGATAATAAAAGTAGAAAGAGACAGAGTAAAAAACGATCGAAATCCAATTGGAAAAATAATAAATTACTAATCTCACCCGACTATCAGCGAGACGTTTACGAAGATGTTATGGGAACAATAATGAATTTAGAAAATATGTATGAACCGCGAAAGCCTACGAACAGGCTCGTACCCGTTCATTCTGTGCACTATATACGCGATTATAATAGTGAACAAGAAAGTAGTGAATTTGATAAACCAAAGAAACATAAACAAATAAAAATCGACGGCCTGATGCCACCTCCACAATACGTATTCAATACCGTGCCACTAAATAATAAATTTGCTTATTCCAATTGGAGAAATGCACGGATTTTCAAAAGGAGTACAGCAAGAGAGAATACAAAAGAACTTAACGATACTTCGATTAACTTTAACGACGGCAATATAATTAAGAAAAATGCCTTCGGTATTCTCATCCCTAATACTACCCCGGAAACAAGTAAACGCAAACGTAAAATCGACTCAAAAATTTTAGAAACGCCAACTACTCAGAGAGCAATTTATACAATTAACGATCGTCTAAGAACGATCAATCGCCCAACAGAAGAAATAGGAAAATTTGATAAATTTATTGACAAAGAAAATCGCACTTCATCTATT